GGAGAGACTTATATATATAAAAAAAAAAAGCACAGTGACGTGAAGTCTTAGTCGAGGTCACGTCTCACACGCCACTGACCTATAGTCCAAGTAGACGGAGGACGGGACAGAGATTAGAACCGGGCCCTCCCCGAGCAGGTAAGTCAGAGGTTGCAGCCACCTGAGGGTGGCTGCGGAGGCCCGGCCCCTCCGGCTCTCGGCCGCCCGCAGCTCGTCAGGTGGACACCGGCTGGAGAAGCCCGGGCCTCGGGTGCCTTAGGGTCCCGGCCGCGGTTTCAGAAGGCAAGATCTAGAGGCAACAAAGGTGCACAGGTGCAAGACACGGGGCGTTCTTTTCCTTTTGATTTTCTCGGAATTTTCCTGACCCAGGTAAGCCTTTGGGAGGTTGAAGAAGTAGGAAGAGAGAGGAGCCCCTTCTTTCTCCAGGTGAATGGTTCAGGGAGCGCTCACCTGGAATTGCGCCTGGAGCAGACCCCTGCAAAAGCGCTAGACTCCAACCTTACTGACATCCTTTTCCCTGAGTACTTTATGGTTTTAGTGTTGTGTTGAATTCATCAGATCTGAGGAGTCTTTCTGAGGGTTCGAATAAATTTTTATTCGTTTCTACAGAGCAGCAGAGAGCTCACTCTCAAGTGGTTAAAAGAGTTTTGAATATAATTTAAGGCCTCACCCAACAATGAAATAATCACAAATAAGATCCATGTGTTAAGTAAAACTAATAGCAAAGCAGGAGAACATGGATGCAAATCTTCTCTCTGCCACACTGTACTTTCGCCAATTGAAAGTTGCTGAGCTTAGGTACAACTTGTTCTGTTGTCTATAAACCGAGCATCCTAATGTGATTTGCCTCGAGGGGTTTTCATGGGACTAACTCAGAGCCTGTGTCCCATAAATGTTGTTACTTGGGCATTAGCATTAGGAAGTGAGCAACTCTACCTGAGGGGCTGGGCGGGCCCAGAATGAGCTGAGCAGGTAGAGGGAAGTGTGCTGGATTGGACCAGTTTACAGAAAGTGAGTCCAAAGCACTCAACAGGGGGTAGATGGGAAGGAATAAAATCCCATGGCTTTTTGCCATTTTTCAAATATGTAGAGTATGAATATTAAATTGTTTTAAAATGCTGACTTTTGTGTCTATATACGAGCAACAGTCTTTTCCTCTTAAGCTTAAATTACAGGGAAGTGGCCTTATTTTGTAATTTTTATGGCAATTTTTTGAATGTTGCTTAGTTTTACTAATATTGCTAGCTTTGAGTAGAGGACGACTTAGTAACTACGACTAGTAATTTCCACTGATGGCATTTTATGTTTTAATTTTATTAATATATTTAAGTGTTTCACATTTGATCCTTATTTGGGCTGGGGATTTGGCTCAGTGGTTCTGCCGCCTGCCTCATAAGGACTAAAGTCCTGAGTTGGATCCCCAGTACCAAGAAAAAAAACCCCACAATTAATCCTTACTTAACATCATTATTTCAATTGATTCTTTTTTCAAATTGTAGAGTTGAGATTCTGAAATGCACTTATTATTAGATAATTCCTGGGGAATTATGGATACAATTCTGAAACCTAATAACTCCATTTTGCAGTAGTATTGTACCCTGGGATTTAACAGTAGTTAGTATAATTAAATAAAGCTTATAAAATAATCAAACTGGTACCAGGGATTTAGCTCGGTGGTTCCTCCGCCTGCCTCACCAGTGCAACGTCCTGAGTTCAATCCCCATGAACCAAAGAATAAAAAAATAAATAAAATAATCAAATTGACTTAGAGGAAATTAGAATACAATATTTTTCAGAAGGAAAGATTTTTATGCTGATATATATTTCTGAACTTCTTAAATTGTTTAATTTTATATTTTAATAACTCTACATCTATATAAAGAACAGTAGCCCCCAAATGAAATATATCTACTTAAACATATTTAATATTGAGATTAATCTATTTAACCATGTAACTGTGTAAGTCTTCCTAGTTAAACTTTATTTTAGTATACACATAAGTTTTTCTACTACCTCTGATGGTGTAACACTTTACAACAAACTATCAAATGTTTGGATCAAAGAGAAATAAGCAAAAATGACTAAGAAAAAATTAACTTTTCCAGTTATATTCAGAATACACATGTGTTACTTGTCTCTTTAATGTGTGAGTAAAAGTTTCATGCCTAACTTTGGTTTTAAATTCCTAAAATAAGAAGCGTCTTTTCATTAAAAAAGAAACCTAATGTTAAAAGTTTATTTACTTGTACAGATTCATTGATTACACTGTAGATGGAGTATTTAAGGTTGCTAGCAATACAAAAGCTTCATATAAAAGTTGATATTTTAAAAAATATTCAGGTATAGACCAATCAAAACAGTCTCAGAAAGCACTTCTCAACATTCTCTCTTTGAACCAAAGTCTAGGTTTAGAGAACTATTCTATTGCAAAGATTAACCTATAATTAACTATCAACTATTAAGGGACAGACCTTATCACTCCCATAATAGAGTCCTAAATACCAGACTAGCTAATGACGGTTGTAGAATATGGAGACATAATCTCTTTAAGTCATGAGGATATTATCTTAGAAGATTGGAGGCTTAGAGGAAAACTTTCTGCACCATCACCCAGAGCCTAGTAAATGTATCCCAAAAGGAAAGGTGTTGATTCTTTTTACAGCCAATATAGGAACAGGAAAAATGAATTATGTGAAGTCAACTTTTAGAGTTTCTTCTTGAAAATTCAGCTGAAGCAGAAAATCCTCAAGTTCCAATGTAGTAAGGGTTGCAGAAGATACCTTTGGCAGCTGAGCAGCTCAGTCCCAGACTGAGTGGTGGCAAAATGCATCCTTAAGCAGCTTGATCCCAACTTACTTCTCCATCTCCTGCTTTTCTCACCTCTCTTGGGGCACTCTGGGCCCAATAAAGTACATTGTATTAGTAGTAGAGTACTAGAGGTTTGGTGTTTCCAATGAGATTCTACTTATACTCACTGTATGTCCAGATGCAAGTCTGGTTTTTTGATCTGTAGTTGTTTGATCCTATCTTAGATTCAAGAATTGAAATATATTTTTATTTTTATTTCAACAAAAATTTCTAATGCAACCAATATCACTTTATAAAGTGGTGGTTGTTTGGTTGGTTTTTTTTTTTTTTTTTGGTTTTTTTTTTTTTTTTTTTTTTTTTTTTGGTACTGAGGATCAAACTCAGGACCTTGTGCTTGTTAGGCAGATGCAGTGCCACTGAGCTAAACTAAGTGGTAGTTTTTATATCCCACCTCTCTGTTTGGCAAATAAAGCATGCTATTTTGGGGGAAAAATGTGGGGCCTAATGTTCCCCAGAAGTAATTCTTCCTTTAACTCTTTTTCCTATCATAAACTAGATACAGATGGAATTATTGATGGTAAATAACTTTGTCTTATAGTAGTTGCATATGGGTCTGCTTTTCTGTGCTCTAGGACTCCAACTCAGAGCTCTGAGAAAACAGCTTTGCTTTAGGGATGAATGCATAATTGTAACTTTTCATTTTCTTCAGACTGTAGCAATATTTTCTTTAAAAGAAACAGTCTTTGATATAATCTCACCTTAGAATACCCACTTGCTTTTCTAATGGGACATTTCTTTGTTTTACTTACATTTACTCTGGGTATTAATGTGATAAAAATATGTTCCTTGTGTATGATTTAAAATAGTGCATATGAAATTAAAAAAATCACTTATGCTTTTATAGCTCTTAATTTTGTTAATATTTTGATGTTTCCTATATGACAAATATTAAATTTTTGTATGTGCATATATTCATTTACTCTGAAAAACACAAAACTGGAATAACAATAATCTCTTTCTAAAGGACCTATTAGTCAAATTAAGTAAATAAAATATGGTTAGAAAAAGAAAGCAGAAAGTACAGTAATACTTCAGTTCACAAGTGCGTCTGTCTCCAAACAATTTTGTTCATCAACAGGAGCATTTGGCAAAATTTTGCTTCCATTCCTGAAGTCTGCATCAGGTGAAAAACACAACTGTGGCCATTTTCCCTGCATGAATGTGAACACAGCCATCTTCCCTGCTCTGACAGGTGGTCCTGACTTCCTCTAGTTGAGAACACAGACATAGAGCTGTACACAGTTGCTGTGAAGTTTTTTGGTATGCTCTTTAGCACATATAGTGCTTTACAGTATTATTCAATCCAGCCTGGCTCCAAAGCAAGTTCAGAGCAAGCATGCTGGTAAAAAGAAAGTGCAGGGCAGTAATGAAGGTTACAAGAATGTGAAGAGTAGTGATGAATGTAACCAGAATATGTAGGGGAGTAATGAAGGTGTCAAGTAAGTGCAGGGTAAAAATGATGAGAGGATTTTGAAGAAAATAACCATTGAATTGAAGAAGGAAATTGTAGAAAAGCGTGAGCAGGGTATCCATGTGACTGCTCTGGCCTCAGAGTACAAGACAGGAAAGTCAACAATCTTGACTATTTGCAGAATAAAGGTGCTGATGTGGCAAAAAGAGTAATGATGTTGATCAAGTTGAAGACACAAGTGCTTGAAAGAGGTGGCAAAACTTTTAGTGTGCTTGAATGAGAAGCAGCTGGCAGGTGATAGCATTGATGAAGCTATGATCTGGGAAAAAGCCAGAAACTGCACAGTGATTTACTGCAAGAAAATCTCTCCACAAGTGCAACAAGTGAGGAATTTAAAGTCAGTAGAGGGTGGTCTGATAAATTCTGCAAGTGAAGTGGCATCTGCACTGTGATAAGATATGGTATGAAAAACTAAAAGGGTAAATAAGGTTCAAAATATATAACAGACATTGGGAAATAGTAAGAAAATGTCCAAATGGGAAGGGGAACAAGGGAGGGGGAGGGGAAAGGAAGGAATGGAAAAGAAAATAGAAGGAAAATGGAAACAAATCTTGTGTAAATTAGAAGAGAGGTTGAAGGGAGGGGAGGGAATTGGGGAAAGAAGGATCAAGACATATTACGCACAGGTATGAACTCCTTATGATGAATGTGATCACTATGGATACCTAAAATATACCAATAAAATTAATTTTTTAAAAAAGACATGGTAAGTCTTCTACCTCTGACAAGGCTGCTGCAGAAGGCTATGAGAAAGAATTTGCAGAATTAATGAAAGTGTAAGGATACATCACTCACCAAGTGTACAAACACAATGAAACAGGGCTCTTCTGGTTGAAGATGCCTAATAGAACCTATAATGCACAGGAGGAAGAGGCACTGCTGAGACACAGGCCCATGAGGGACAGGTTGATCCTTTTGCTGTGTGTGAATGCAGATGTCGATCTGAAGATTAAGCCACTACTAGTGCACCATTCCCAGCTCCTCATGCATTCAAGGAACAAAATGTGAACAAGGTCAGACTACCTATCAT